AGTGTCTCGGTTTCCTATATTACAGCTTCCATTCTTTTCAGAAACTTGCTTTCAGTTTATCAAAGAAATCTGCAGGGATATTTTTCCACACCTCCAAAGTTCAGTCTTAGAAGTTGGTTGCAATTTTTGTTTCTCATGATAAGGTCATTTAGAGCCTTAAAAATAGTAGCAGAACTTTAAAATCTATCCTGAACGATACAGGCAGCCAGTGCAGTTCTTCTAAAATGGGAGTGTACTGATCTCTCTTTTTTGTCTTTGTTAGGATGCGCGCTGCTGCATTTTGTACAAGTTGTAGAGGATGTATAGTTTTCTTAGGAAATCCAGTAAGAAAAGCATTACAGTAATCAAGTCTGCTTGTAACAAATGCATGAACAGGTTTCTCCGTGTTGATCTGAGAGAGAACAGGCTGAACTTTAGCGATATTTCTCAAATGATAAAAAGCTACTTTAGTGACCGTGTTTACATGCGGGATAAAACAAAGCTCAGAGTCTAAGATCACACCCAGGTTTTGTACTTCAGCTTTGGTATATGAAGCTAAAGAACCAAGCATTTTTCTCTGAGTTTCTGTACCAATGATCAGTGTTTCAGTTTTTTCATGATTTAATTGTAGGATATTTTGTGACATCCACTGAGAATCCATCTGACACGCAGCTGGTTAGTCTGTCTACAGAGTCTTGATCATCAGAAGGAGTGGAAATGTATAATTGTGTGTCATCAGCATGGCTATGAAAATTTATATTATGCTTCCTAATGACATCACCTAGAGGTAGCATGTACAAAGAGAAAAAGCAAAGGCCCTAAAACTGAACCTTGAGGGACTCCACAGGAAATGCCAAATCTTTTTGATGAATGATTTCCAAGTGAAACCATGAATTGTCTATTACCTAAAAATGATTTAAACCGTTCTAAAGCTGTGCCCAAGAGGCCGACCCAGCATTCAAGATGCTGGATTAAAATCTTGTGGTCAATGGTATCAAATGCTGCACTAAGATCTAATACAACCAGAGTAGAAGGATTTTGTGCATCAGCGCTGAGCCTGAGGTCATTCATAACACGAATCAATGCTGTCTCTGTACTATGGTTAGAACAAAAACCTGACTGAAACTTCTCATATAACTTGTTTGATATTAGTTATGCATTTAATTGTTTGAAAACAACTTTTTCTAATACTTTACTTGAAAAGGTACGTTTGAAATTGGTCTAAAATTATTTCGTATGGAAGGATACTCTTTTTAGTAGATCATCCAAGTAATTCCAGACACATTCATTGATGCTGAGGTCTGGACTTCTGGGGTGGTCAGTTCATTGTGCTGAGAGTACCAACAGCTTCTCTAACTCATTTCATTTTTGTGTATTTTCTTTTCATTCCCTTCTTGACAGCTACACATCCTTTCAGACCTGCTGAGTTGTCATCTCACAGTGGAAGGATGGACAGAAACACCTGTGGATTATTGACAGATCTGAGGCTAAACTCTGAGTTGGAGCTTGATATGGTAGTCTTGACAGTTTCAGTGGTCTACAAGGTTGTTAAGAGTGCCACTTTTTCTGGATCTTTTAATAATTTTTTGAACTCCAGTTTTGGAAACTCATTTGACCTCCCCCTTCCCTTATGGAAGTGGAATATCTTACATGTAACCTCATTAGAAATATCTCATGAAAAATGAACAACTTGTAATTAATGGCCATTTTGACTGGAAATTGACTGCCTTCATCCAGTCAGACTCAAACACCTGCTCAGCAGCTACTGTACATATAATGTACCTAAGGGCATAATTACATTATCTATATTTGTATACTTAAAATTATGTGCACTTTAATGTGTGTATAAACATAATTACAATACTTAACACTTTCAGTCTAGCCTTGGTCATTTAAACCCATGTGGCCAAGACACTTCAGTAGAGCTCATGAAGAGTTCCCATGTATTCACATGAAAAACAAGGAGTGGTGCTTTGACCCATACACTATACAGCGGGCAACTATGTGAGGACGACTGCTTTAGACAACGACATTGTTTGGTTTTCGGAGATCTGCTGAACATTTCAAGGGTCGCTTCAAAAGCCTCTTGAAGCCGTGATTACTTACAACATTATTCATGTATGTTTTTTGGGTCATTTGCATGTGCTGCTCTGTAATTTTGTACCAGTACATTGTTGCTGTCCAAAAATAAATGTATCTCCAGTTTTGTTGATTTTTATTTTTCTACATAATTTTAACACAGCAGCTATCCTTTACATTGTGTGACAATTTCATAATGATTTGACAAAGAGAAATTCTTAAGAATCACTTGGAATAAAACCTTTTTACATTAACTTTCATTAACAGCTAAGAATATTTTGCCTTGTTCTGCATATTTCCTATTTTTGATATTTTTTCCTTTGAACAGCGGCAACATGCAACAGTATCACAATTTACTAATAGTTACATTTACTCAGTTCCACATAAATTTAATGAAATTGTAATGGCACATTTCTCATTGTTTTCAAATGGTAATATTTATATTTTACATAGAGTAGATTTGCAAAGAAAACTACTTTACAAAGCTCATTTTTAGTCATTCTTAATTGATTACTAGTTTCTTTTTTCTTAGATTAATTTCATTTTATTTTACTGGTGACATCACATGGACACTTTAAAATTATTATTATTTTATGAAACAAACAGATCCCACAAAGCAAAGAATAGGTCAGTGGTGACAAACTGCTATTCGAAGCATATTGTGGATATCACCAGCATTTAAAATAACAGTGACCAACAGCACGCATCATTACAAAGAGAACATAATCACTAATGTTTAAATGGATTTAGCGTAGAGCAGTATGTGAAATGTTCAGTACTGGAGGAGTTACTTCAAAAAGAGTAATCTCACTACCTATTACTTCTAAGTTACTCTCTAAAAGTCAAACAATTCAAATCAGCTGGAAAATACAAGAGAAAACCCAAAAATTCTTTCAGTATATACTAATAAATAGCCAATCATGGTAAACATCATTCGAAGAAGACACATCCTGTTATGCTAATTAATATTACAAATGGCTAATTCATTTTGAGTCTGGCCTTTTTAGGTGAGGTCGGGGCTCTTTCCTATTGGGCATGGAAAATTTTTATCTGTCAGTTTCATGTTAACATGATTAAATGTTAATGTGCTGCTTGTATTCACAATCAAAGTGACGTAGTCAGCTGTCATTGGTATCACAAGTGCATGCACATTGTATGAAAGACCAGTCACAAATAATCTATTTAGAGGAAATTTATGTTTTAAATACACTTTATGAATTTTAAATTGATCTGTTAGAGACATATGAGTAATGCAATTAACGACATTCTTATTAAGTCAGTGTGTTGGTCAGTCTGACTAGGCCACAAGCTGGGACACTTTTACCACGGTAGCAGAGTTTGAGTCAAAAGCTGGGAGACTTTCCACCACAATAGCAGAGTCTGACTAGGCTGTAAGCTTGGACACTTTTCACCACGCTGGCAGAGTTTGACTAGACCGCAAGCTGGGTAACAATTCACCACGGTAGCAGAGTTTGACTAGATCACAAGCCGGGACAATTTTCACCACAATAGCGGAGTCTGACTAGGCTGTAAGACACTTGGACACTTTTCACCTTGGTAGCAGAGTCTGACTAGGCCATAAGCTGGGACACTTTCACCACGGTAGCAGAGTTTGAGTCAAAAGCTGGGAGACTTTCCACCACAATAGCAGAGTCTGACTAGGCTGTAAGCTTGGACACTTTTCACCACGGTAGCAGAGTTTGAGTAGGCCACAAGCTGGGACCCTTTTCACCACAGTAATGGAGTTTGATTAGACCGCGAACCGGGACACTTTTCACCACGGTAGCAGAATTTGACTAGATCACAAGCCGGGACACTTTTCACCACAATAGCGGAGTCTGACTAGGCTGTAAGACACTTGGACACTTTTCACCTTGGTAGCAGAGTTTGAGTAGGCCAAAAGCTGGGACACTAAATGTTGTGATGCACACTGTGTATCGAAAAAACGTATTGTGACATTATATTTTTGCCATATTGCACACTCCGAATTCAGTTCCTATGCTGGTGGATGTAGTACCCACTTTTCACTCCTGCTCAAATTTTTATTTATTTATTTATTTTATTTATTTGGTAGGTACGTCATTTAAGCAGGAACACTTCTACTGGAGTGTGCTTTTAAGCAAAAGTTAAGGAAAAGAAAAGCGCTCGCTGCTACAGCACTAAAAAGAAAGAGTATAATCCAAAGTCAAACCAAACGGATCTCCTAAATCCGAGCATTTCCCCATGAAATATTGAAGTCGCAGTCGGACTGATAGCATGCGAGGCGGAAGGAGGTAGATGAATAAATGAAAACCTCTTTAAAGCGCCGCGCGCGCATGCGCGGGGCTCCACCGGGGGCGCGCGCCACCTGACCGCTTGCTGGCGTGCGCGCTGCTTCTGTTTTTCGCTCAAGCTGCGTTAAACGCTAGAAGTGTCCAAAGTTTGGGCGCGAACATCTACAGGATCGAGCAAAGAGCCGGAGACGCTGTGAAGCTCCTTCCGCCGCTCGTTCAGTTATGATTTTCGTTTTCGCGCGTAAAGGTGCGCCAGCGCGCGAGAGGCAGCCAGGAGCGTGCGCTCGGGAGGGCAACTGCAACTGCAGAAAGTTGTTTAGCGCGTGCAGCGGCCGTTTAGTGCGAAATAAAAGCTCCGGATGAGAGAGAGAGAGAGAGAGAGAGAGAGAGAGAGAGAGAGAGAGAGAGAGAGAGGGAGAGAGAGAGAGAGAGAGAAAGAGAGAGAGAGAGAGAGAGAGAGAGAGAGAGAGAGAGAGTCCTTCACAACTCAGGCACGCATCAAGCAGTGAGATCATTTGCGATATAAATATCTCCTCGCGCCAGCAGACCTGCTCCAGCTCCTGCAGCCCTCGGGCTCATGCCACCGGTGGTCTCTGAGTGCGCGGAGAAAAGCACAATGCTGGAAGTTTCCTAACCAGAGCGGAAGAGAGAGGGAGAGAGAGGCAGAGAGAGAGAGCGCTTTGGGGAAGAATGCACGCTCCTCTTTTCGTTGTTGTCTTTTCTCAGCTGATTAGCGTCGCCGTCTCCGCGCAGGAAGAGCGTGCGTCTGGACGCAGGACTGTCCGACTGTACTGCAGAGTTGGCATCGGCTTCCACCTTCAGATTCACCCCAATGGAAGAGTGAACGGGAGTCACGAGCCTGATCACTTAAGTAAGTAACTCATCAGCGCTCAGAAAGTGTCTGAAAACATCTCAATACTTCAGCTATAAACGCGTCAACTGCTTATATCTGAAAAACGTCATCAATGCATATGAACAGAACTGTTGACCATTCCATTCACTCTTAAAAAGATGGTTCTTCAAGGGTTCTTTAGTAAAGGGAATGGTTCTGGGTAGAATCATGAGTCCTATATAGAACCATTTATGCTTAAAAGGTTCTTTGCATGGTGAAAAGGTTCTTCATATTGATGTTGATGTTGTATATGGTTCTATATATAGAGGCTTATATAACAATAGAAAAAAACTTTTTGGTTCTACGTAGAACCATTTTCAAAAAGGTTCTATATAGAACCATATATAATGCATTTTCCATTAATCTGAGGAACCATTTCACCATGCAAGGAAACATTTAAGCATAAAATGGTTCTATATGGAACTCCAAGAATCCTTGAAGAACCATCTTTTAAGGTGTGTAAACTTTAAAAATAAAAGTGCCATAGAAGAATCACTTTTGGTTCCCTCAAGAACCTTTCAACACATGGTCCCTTAGAGAACCATTTATGTATGTGAGTGTGAAGAATCTTTTTAAAGGTTAAAGAACCCCACCGCAATGTACAGATTCTTTGAAGAACCCAAGAAATAGTATAGAACCTTTCTCAACCCCAGTGGTTCTCAACCCAATCCACAGGGACCCCCAGACAGTCCATAATTTTACACCATGTGGACCATGTAGGGGAATGTGACCACTACTTCAGGGAACCAAAAAACAAAAGTGGTTAGCAAAAAGGGTTCAAAAGTTCTGTGACTTGCAATTTTTGCTGCTATACAGGACAATTTTTAAAAGGTTCTTTTTTTCTCCAATATAGGAAAGAACCATTTAACCATAAAAAGAAGCAAATAAACATAAAAATAAATCAAATTCTTCCTATTTTGTAATATTTTTATTGCATTTCACTAAAAGGGGAGGGAAAGGGGGGGCAGGATGCCAACATACAGTGTTAGATGTACACACAGGTCAACATAAAAAAGAACCAGCACAAATAGAAGTATTACACAGTACAGTAAAAACTAAAGTTCTGCAATTAAATCATAGAAATTTCAAGAATTACCTGTAGTCGACTATTTTGTTTTGTTGAGCCTGGCTGTAAGATACTCCATGCAAACTGTGTTTTGAATGCTGGATATCCAGAACTTTATAAGTCAAAGCTGCGAGGTGATTCAAAGTTGTAAAACAATTTTTGGTGGCTGTAAAACCTGCCAATAGCATCCTGCATAACATTCAAGTGGTTCTTTGTGTTGTTCTGATTAAAGATAGCTATTGCTTTTACTGAAGAACCCTTGAAGAATCCCACTGTAAGGGCATCACTCAAAGAACCCTTTGCGGCACCTTTTTTGGACGACTGTACATAATGATTATGCAAGATATTCCAAGGTATTGCATTCTTATAAAAGGACTGCATCATCTATAACCCCACTTTGCTCCAGTATATACGCACCAATAAGTCGAGCAGCTTTGTGTGAAATTTGGTACAGTCTATGGCTCTCGCTGATTGTGTCAAACTGTAGCTTATTAATGATTAATAAAAATGCAGTGCCTCAAAATACCGACATGAGACAAAACACTTGTATTAACAGCTATCTTAATAGAGGAGTAATTCTAGTAAGGCTTCTGGCCTGCTTTGAGCTGGTGATAAGGTTATTGGGCTTTGCCAAAGCGAGCCGAGATGTGCAGCACCGGCAGATTGTGCTACTGCTCCTGACTAGAATGGCTTGTTTATTGGAAGATACGGTATGCAAACAGGTGCAACGGCTCAGATGAGAATGCGATTTGGTACAGAACCAGAATGGCTGCCATCGATAACATGCCATGCACTAGATTGTTGTTAATGGTTCTATGTTTGGAGGACATACCATAGTATTAGGTCTGTCCAGAGGGCCCTGTGTGTAGTGGATCGAATAAAAACAGAAGAGGTCACTGAGAATTAGAACAAAATTCTTATGGTTGTTTAACAAAACAAAAAGGCCATCTTTCCATTCACATAAATTCCTAAGGCCTACACCTAAATCCACTTAATAGAACTTGAATATAACAATGAATATAGTCAAAATATCGTGATAAAGATGGACACATAACATTGTGGTCTGAGCTTTGCAGAACCAAAACAATGAGATAGTGTTACTGGCTGTCATGAAAGGCTATTCCACATAGAATGATGCCAGATTCATTTTCCGTGTGGAATGCAAGTTAGAAGGCTGTTGTTCTCTTCAGAAATCCCAAGATAATATATTTTACATTTGATACCGGATCCTGCTTTACTGTATATCCAAAGCATGGGCGCCTGATTTTGTGTGGAACTGGGGAGTGAAGTTAAGCGTGGGAGGGAGCTAAGTTAATACTTGCTTTGCTAAGTTGAGCTAGACTATTAATTACTGACAGCTGCTAGTTTTTTGATGATTTGTTAATCCTAACAAAAAACCTAAAAAAAGGTATCTAGCCTACTGTTGTTAGCTAAAAACTAAACTAGCTAGTCTTTTTGGGCAGCTGATAAAATTATATGCAAAATATCATTTTGTTAAACTCGTATTCTTGCTAAGTTTAGCTAGACTATTAATTACTGACAGTGGCTAGTTTTTTGATGACTTAATAGTCCTAGTAATTCTAATAAAAGCTAGTTAACGCTAGCTAGTCAACAAATGTTAGCTAAAAACTACACTGTATTAACAAGATAGCTAGCATTTTTGGACAGTTGATAAAATTACATGCGAAATATCATTTTATTAAACTTGTATTCAAGCTAAGTTTGACTAGACTATTAATTACTGGCAGTGGCTTGTTTTTGATGACATTCTAATAATTCTAATAAAAGCTAGTTAACGCTAGCTAGCCAACCAATGTTAGCTAAAAAAACTACAAAGCAAGTAACTAGCTAATTAGTGTTTTGGGACGCTTGATAAAATTACATGAAAACATATTTTTTATGTTAATTACATTGACAGTCAGATTTGGAGTGAAAATTTGAGATAGTAAAAGATCTGAACAATATCTTTGTCTGCTCACTTTAGCATAAAGCCTGTCCCTCTAAAATGTATCGGTTTGTCTGCAGGTGTGCTGGAACTGTTTGCCGTGTCTCAAGGAGTCATAGGAATCCGAGGAGTTTTCAGCGACCGTTTTCTAGCCATGAACAAGAGGGGATGGCTTCATGCTACTGTAAGTCAAATTCCATACAATCCACATTCCCAACATGAGACATCAGTTCTTTACCAGCAGCCAACTCTGAGATAAAAGTTTACCATCCCTGCTCGCATGGGGGGGTGAATCTTGGCCCGGCCTGTTATTTGCAAGTCTCTGCAAATTCGCCTTATTCGTGAGTGACAAAGATTTGCTCAGCACACAGCAGCGAGGTGCATCACAAGCTGGCTTTGCCGACAAGCATCTGTGTGGGTCTGGGCCCACCCGATAGAAGTTGGAGCTTATTAGCATGTGCTAATGGGAAAGACAGATTAGAACGGAGCCTGGGATAGCTGATAATCTTGCATGGACGGGGAGAAAAAATCAATATGGTGAGCAAACAGAGGCAGGCAGCTGCTGAGATGGAGAACCAGGAGCAGCATCTAGATAGCAGAGGCTGTGTCAGAGATCTAAGAGGGAGTTGATGCTTAAATGACTGATTGGGAGTCAATTTTCAGGCTTGGGTGTCATGGAAACGAGCCACCATGTGTATATAGTTGTGGCAGCGAATTACTGCTGTTATCATGTGTCTGTCCTCCAACATATTTTTGGTTTAGCATGTATCAGAGGTGTAGTCTAGTCTGATGTAGTCTGTGACTAGCGCTAGCCAGACTATCCTAGCACATAACACAGATTGATGATGATATAAATCTGGATGTTATTAAGTTAATATGTCTCTAATGTTACTCTTAAGTTTTACTTCAATTTCTATTAATATCCCTTATGGGGTAAGTGTAGTTGCAACCAATAAGGCTAGTTAAAACAGTGTTAATTCAGTCAGATCTTGAAGGTATCATGTTTTCACTTTCTTAGCCAGTCTGATGATGAGTGAGGGAATTTTATTTGCAAAATGGGGTTTCAGTGTTAATTCAATCAAGAATATTTTTTTTTCTTGTACCAAAATTTGACAAACAACAGTAGTAATGGCCAGATACATACACTATGATTTGCTGTTTTGTTACAAGTGAGTTACCTGGCTGACTTAAAATCTGAAATCACTGAATGTCAAATAGTAAGTCAACATAATTAATGTTACATTCTATTCACTGATTATTTTAAAAACTGGAAATTTTACAGCAGCCAAATCATTGTTATGGTATATTGTTGGAGGATTTTAATATGTATTTACAAAGAATAGTATTTTGCTGTTTCCAGTATTTTTTCAAGTTTGCAGTGGATTTCTGCTAGGAGTGTAAAAACACATTGTATCGCATTGTATTGTTCAGTGACGGCCTCTCAACTCAATACGCACAATGCATTCAACAGGCTGAAGCAAATAAAGTACTGCTTATTTTGCATAAAGTGTAATAAAAAAATTATCCAGCAGGCACACAATTATTATAAAATATTGTACTTTTGTAATGTTGAATGCACCAAGAAATTGAAAATGGAAACATTAATGCGTTAACACAAGGCAAATTTTCAGGCTCTCCTTATTTTTGCAGCATTGAAAAATGAACTGAATCGAGACCCAGCTGTATCGAACAGAATAGTAAATTTTGTGAATTGAACCCCTAATAGCTGTGTATCACATAGACTGCACTGCTGGAAAGTATGTATATTATAGATAAAGATTTCAGTATTCTTACTGTGGTCATTTTATTCAGAATGGTTTTAAAGAACATGCCGTTTCTATGGCAAATGGATGACGTTCCTCCAGATTTAAAAGGAGTTGGGGAAGCTAATCCTAGATCTTCTCTTTGTGTCAAGCTGAGCTATATATGCCTTGAATGCTCTATTATTGTTGCATGAGACAGTCTCTAGGCAAGGTGCATTTGCACCTAGCCACACTTTCTTGAACATAGCTGTCAGGTAACATGATGTGTTAGTTCAAACTTGGGCAAACAGAGGTTTTTTGTGTGGCCTTCTCCTTCACCTTCTCAAAGGATGTGATTATATAAACATCTGTGGTTTGGATTATAATTGGAATTCACCTTGGGCTCACTCTCACCAGGAAGATTACAAGGAAATGTAACATCTGAAAGGTTCATCATCACCAAACCTTTGGAATTACAGGACTCGCTTGATATCAGAGTGTGTATCTTAACAAAATGACTTCTCATATGGTCTCATTCACCCCTGTAGCACTTGACTCTGACCGGACATACATGAAATGAAGTTGTTTGCATAACACTTAGCATTTATAAAAGTTATTTAGAGTGCTGAAGGGAGATAGAGAGAATGGGTCAAAGGGAAAGCAAGAAAAAAAAGGCTACACATAAATCTGAAGATGAGCCTCTAAGCCGCTCCAGACATCATCAGCAATTAGAGCAGCTGCAGTGGCTCTGTCAGTGTTGAATTAGGTTTGATTTTCCTCAGCCCAGCTACAGTTGCATAGGCTTATTTAATAGCCCTGTCAGCTTGGGTCTTAAACCCCGGAGCACTGTGCTCCACAGACAAGCCGGCCCAGCCAGCGGGGTATCGGATGACTTAGTGTCTGATGTTGTTGCGCTGTCTGTCATATTTAATATTTAGATGTTTTCACAGGGGCAATTTATTGCTGAGATAATGGCGGGGAAGACAGATGTATATGGTGGCATGTGACCTCCCCTGTAAGCCATTACAAACATAATCTTTCTGAAGGTCAAAGGGTCACCTGGATTTATAGAGCAAACAATAAGGGAAGGGGGACAAGGATAGATAGAGCAAGAAAGAAAGAGAGAGAAACATCCCTAATTTTCTCCATCTCAGTGAGTACAAACTAATTGCCATTGATGAGTTTGTTTAATTCCGTTTGACCTGCTGCAGGAAATGGGTGAGTAAATAATGCTTTAAGATGGAGCTGAATTCAGCATGCAAAGATATAATTAGTCAGCAACAGCACTCCTTCTACACTACCACAGTATAGTAACACTATACCAGTGATGATGTTGCTGAGAGATGGGAGACACTGCAGTATTTCCTGGGAAAGGGTTGCATTAGGGCTGTCTGTAATAGTAGTGACCGATATACTGGTTTAAATTCTTCCTGAGACAAGATGCTATAGGCCATAGCTGTCAAGTCTTAAGTCTTACCCATGAGGCTCACATTCTCTTTTTGTCTTTGCTGCAGTCTCGCAGCTGTGATTGTAAATCTCACCCGTTTTTGCATTTTCAAAATAAAGTTTGCTGGTGCACAAGTGTCATCGCAGCAACAGCCTGAATCAGATTCATCTGTGTACTTTGATAACACCGCCCAGCTTTACTGACCAATACAGCCACTTCACATTAAAAATTACTGAATAATGAGTACTGATCTCATAATTAAAAAAACTATCAAAACACACGCTACACAAAATCTTCTCTTAAACTATCATAAAAACATACAATTTCAAATATATTTATAACAGTGCGTTTTGTCAATTCACGTTCTCTCACTTCTCATTGTATTTTCCAAAAGTTAGAAACTTTAACATAGGCTTAGCTCCGCCCGCACTAGGCACACCCATGTTGAGTCATATATCACTAAGAAACTCATTTCCTGTAGGATCTAAATTGAACACCCAAGTATTTCCTTTGTAATAACAGCACCATTCGTGTAAATGATACCTGTGTCCTGAAATAGCCCACTGGCTAATTTGATTCTGAATTCTGTTCCTGAAAAACAGCTTTTCTCTACATTCAGAACCAAAATTCTCAGCCTTTAGGATACCCGTGTTCCTGAAATTTTACATGTTCATTTTTTGAGTCCAGAAAGAATTCTTAATATGTTGATAATAGCTGGATTTATGTTACATTTGGACTACAAAATGACCTGAAAAATATTTTAACAGTGCATAGTGTTTTCTTGATAAAATAATAAAACAATAAACCAATAAACTCTTTCTTCTTGCAGTGTGTCTTCACAATGAAATAAGCAAATGTCCAATAAAAAATCAGACTGTTGGACCCCACCATACATAAATACACTGTACTACCGTACTGAAACTACTAATCTAAAGAACTAGCATAGGCCAAGCCAGGCTGCCATACAAGGACTGTAGAATATCTGCTGGTTCCAGGATATGAGTATCAAGTGCTATTTGTATCACACATCCAAACCACCAAAATGGTCTTCATGAAACTATATTTCCTTAACAGTAAGCACATTTGCAGGGCATTCACCAGCAAACACCACAATAACATCCAGAGGCAGTGTAGGTGACCTAAAGCATTGTAAGTTCATCTATGAAGTTATGTTGGGTCAAGCTGTGACTGGAATGTTTAGTTAATATCGTAATGGCATAATTTTCTGCTGTGCTGCACTCCTCAGTAAACCAGAACAAGCATTATTATTTCAGTGGTTGGTGTGACTCCAGGCTCCATACTAGGGAAAGACCATCCTTGGGCACACACAATATAGTTTCCCACCAGCTGTATTTTTAGAGAATGGGAAATGCAAACTCCTAATTATTAGTATATACATGCAGGACCACTTGGCGTGCTGTTTGTTGATGAGTAATACTTATAGATTACTGCAGAGACTGTAAGTTAGAGCTTTTGGCCTGACTTTGTGACGTGTCCTCTAGTCTTTTAATGTTCCTTAGCCAGTTTAGATACATCAAAATAAGACTGTAAGATTTTCCACAGTTGTAGCCAGTTTTATTACATGCACACTCTTACTAGCTAAAGCAAGTGTGTCTGTCTAACTCCCGTTCCAGAGGGCCATAGCACTGTACTCTTTAAAATTACACCAGAGGATGTGTAGTGAGGAGAAATGCCACTCAGTAATGTCTTCTGGGTTTGTCAAATGCTAGAGGGCACTCCTGAGACCAAAATGAATGGGTTCTTAAGGAGCTTTTGTGCAAAATCCCAATTTGTAAATGTGTAAACGTTTTTATCTATAAAAATACACACATTTTTGGAACACAGAACAGCATGGAATATTTCATCATATTTTCAACTTCAACTGTAGGACTTTCTAACAGAGCCTCATGTCCGCTCATGACATTGATGAACTGCTTCACTCTAGTCATGGTAAATGAGGTGATTAGCTTACTAACCAGTCAGCACTCAGTATAT